CACTGTAAGCTCTCTCCATACCCCAATGTATTTTTTCTTGGCTAACCTGGCATTTCTGGAGATCGCCTACTCTTGTACCATTGCCCCTTTAACTTTGGCTAATCTCGCTTCAGTGAGAAGGATCTCCATTTCTTTGAGTGGATGTGGCACCCAACTTTTTTTGTTTACCTTGCTGGGGGGCTCTGATTGCATCCTGCTGGATATCATGGCTTATGATCGATATGTGGCAATATGCCGCCCACTAAGCTACCCTCTCATTATGACCTGGAGAATGTGTATGAGTCTTATGGTTGGGACGTGTGCTATGTGTGTGTTCCTGTCTTTCCAGTTGTGTCTCCTCATACTGACTCTGACTTTCTGTGGCAATAATATGGCAATCAGAAATTTTTTCTGTGATTTTCCTGCTCTAATGAAAGTGGCATGTGGAGACACCCATGCCCAACAACTTAGCCTTTTTATTACAAGTGCTATTCTCTTGACTGTCCCCTTCACATTAATCTGCACATCCTATGCCTTCATCACAATGACCATCCTTTGCATCCCTTCTGCCTTGGGGCGACAACGAGCTTTCTCTACTTGTTCCTCCCATATAACGGTTGTCCTTATACAGTATAGCTGTACCAGTTTAATATACCTGTGCCCTGCTTCCTACTTGTCAGCCATGCAAGTTCGGGTGGTGTCTGTCTTCTACACTTTTGTCACACCTGTATTAAACCCCCTTATTTACAGCATGAGGAGCAAAGAATTAAAAGAGGCAATGAACAGGTCCTTGAGAAGAATAATGCTGCCTCAAAAGAAATGAGACAATTTTGTCAATAAGGAAGAAAAGACTCACCAACTATAATAGCCAGTCCCTCATTCATTGTCAATTCGGTTTGATGCTGCAGATACCAGGGATCGGTCAATAGGGCTGCTTTCAACTCAGTTGTCAGTTTGTCTTCCAGGTGTCTGGGGTTGCGGTTGGCTTGGCCTTGAGTGGTTACTTGGACTGCCGATTGAGCTTCTGTTATCATAGTCTGCACTACTTCCTCTTGGCAACTGTCAAATTGGGGTTTTCTTGACAGGGAGTCCGCCAATATGTTTTTCCCTCTGGGGATATATTTCATGTTGAAGTTGAACTGCTTGTATATTGAGCCCAGCGGACTTGTTTTGGTGATAGCTTCCGAGGCATCTTTAGAGCCTCAAGGTTTTGTGATCAGTCCAGACCTCAAACAGCTCCTTCACCCCTTCTAGGAAATGCCTCTAAGTCAACAAAACCCATCATACTGCAAATGCTTCTTTCTCCCAGACCGCCCATCTTCATTCTGTGTCTGTCAACTTTTGGACACATAAGTGCAAAGCATCAGTCAGTTCTGAGAGTCCTTTTGGAGAAGATTGGCCGTGACCACCACATCACTAGCATCATCTTGGACTATAAAAGGTCTGGTAGGGTCTGGGTGCTGGGGAATGGATTCAGCTGCAAAGAGGCATTTTAAGGTTTCAAAAGCTTTTGTGACAGTCCATGGTCCAAGCAAGGGGTTGACTGGGCTTCAGTTTGGTGGGGGAAGGGCCCGTTTTTAATAACTTTGTCAAAGGGAGGGCAACCTCAGCAAAAGAAGGAATGAATATAGAAATTGGCAAAACCCCAAAAGCTCTGAAGCTGCTTTTGCGTTTTGGGGGGTTGCCAGTCCAGCATGGCTTTCACTTTACCAGAATCCATCTCAATTCCCTGGTTGGATATTTGGTAGCCTAGGTAATCCAACGACTCCTTGTGGAATTCGCATTTTGACAGTTTTATATATAACTTGGCGGCTAAAAGTTTTTTCAGCGCTTGTCTGACCAATTTGACATGTTCCTTGATAGTTTCTCTGAATATAAGGATGTCAATCAGGTAGACGAGGACCCCCTGGTACAGGTGCGGATGTAACACTTTGTTGATGAGTTGCATAAATACTGTGGGGGGGGCCCTTGGAGTCTGAAGGGCATGACTCAGAATTGGAAACTACCCAAAGGGCAGTTGAAGACAGTTTTCCATTCATCTCCCTCTTTTATGCAGACTTGATAGTAAGCTTCTCTCAGATCTAGTTTGGTGAAGACCTTGCCTTTTGA